GAATGCCTTCAGGGCACTTTTGGCCAGCTGTAGAGGTGTGAGGTTTGAACTCCAGCAACCTGAGGCTGACAGCTTTGTGGAAGCAGCCACTTAAAGACCTGAGCTAGGGCCAGGCCCCCTTGCAGAAAATTTTTTGCAAGTTGTTTTATTTACAGTGCCAACTTTTAAAAGCTCACCAAAGTTATCGACAATAATCTATGCAGAAATCACTCTACAAAAAGAGGGGAAGCTCAAAATGTCAACTTTGTACAGAGAACTCATAATTTTTTTTTTTTTTTTAATTTAGTACAGTGTCTACAGGGTCTCACTACACAGATAGGACTTGAAGTGATCCTCCTGTTTTCAGCCTCCCAAGCACAGGGATTACAGGCAGGCGCACCACCGCATCCAGTCTCATTCACCCTTTCAGTGAGCCCCGGGGGGCGGGGCCCCCACGGCACAATGGGGATCAAATCCAGTCTCTGAGCCTGCCTAAGCGGGCACTTTAGTCCACTGAGCTATCTGGCCTGCCCACAGTACAGTTTTATTCTGATTAAAGAAAACTAGCAACTTTTGCTCAGACTGGGAAGAAATTCAGCCATTGGTTTGGAATCTGTAACTCAAACTACACATACAATGAGGACAACATTATGCTAATACAATTGTTTTGCTGCTGCATTTGTTTACTATTTGTCTAATATTCACAATTATAAACAGAGCAGTGCAACTAGGATTTGGAACAATCCTTATAGTGTTACAGTGTCAGGCACAACATTTCACTTCTCTTCATACCACTGCTTCTCTTTGCATACCTCCTCTTCAGTAAAGTCATTTTTGACATTAAAAGTCTTGCAAATCTCCTCAGGAGTTTTCCCCTTGATCATACTGGCAACAGTCTTGCATGTAACATCAAGCAAACCTTTGACATCTAGGTACTTTGCTGCCAGAATAAGTTCAAAAAGGGTTCCTTGTTCAACTTTCAGGAATTCTTGGTCCCAAACAGGAATGTCATCTGTTTGCTTTTCTTTGTTTTTAGCATTCTCAGGAGGAGGTGGGACATCCTTATAGTGGGTACACCACTGAATGACCGTTTTAATATTGCTGCATTAACATTTGGCAGAGGAACTGGGCCATCATCACCTTCATCATACATTCCCAAATCTTCCAACGTGGTCTGGATTGTCACAGACTGACAATTTTAACATCAACTTAAAATATCTCTCCATCAGAACTCTGCAACTTAATTGAAGGCATGGCGTTTGGTCTCTAAAAGACTGCGGGCCTGAGGCAGAAGAGAGCAGGAAGACGTTCCCACCGGTTGGGGAAAGGCGGTGGCAGAGGAAGCCACTCCACAGTGAAATTTTACTCAGCAACAAAAATGTAGGAACTATTGATACTACTTACCATTCCCCAAAACATGGCTCTCAAACGAGTTAGGCTGAATGCAAGAAGCTAGACACAAATAAAAACACCGCCCAAGATCAAGCAAAACTAATGTCAGAAGAGAAGTTGTAGAGTGGGTGTCCACAGCTGAGAAGCAGAGTGCCAGGGAGAGGTGCGGGGAGGGAGCTAGGAAAGGAGCCCTGGGAGCTTCCTTAGGTGTTGGGTGTATCCCATTCGTTGAAGTGTGCTTACACAGGTGCGCACAAAAAACCCCTGACAGATCAGCTGGGTTTTTTCACTGTGACTGAGACTTCAGTAAAGCACCCAGAGCTCCTGCCCGTGTGGCACCCACACAAAATCCCAGTAGGTTCGGCACCACCTGCGCCTTCGGTTGCCCAAAAGGGGAGGGAGGTCACGGCTCCAGGCGTCGGGCTTCCTTCCGCGCCAATCCAACTTCCGCGCGTCCCCGCGTGCAGAGAGGGCTGCACCCTCTCGGCAAAGCGCGGCCAGCGGTCCAGGCTGCGTCCCGCCACCAGCAGGGGAGAGCCCCGCCCCGCCTGGCCCCGCCCCGGCCCACCCTCCCTGTAGGGGCCAGGTCCCGGCGCGGCGGCGGCGGCGGTGGCTGCGGGCTGGGCCGCGATGTCGCTGGGAGCCGGGCTCGTCCGCACCACGTGCAGCACTGGCGGGGCGCCCGGGGCCGGGGTTGGCACGGGGTCGTCGTCCGAGGGGCTGCTGGACCTCGTCTACCCGCGCACCCAGGGGGCGTTTCTGAAAGTGGCGCAGATGGTAAGAGAGGGCGAGGTCGCGGGGCCGGGGCCAGGGACAGGGTGAGAGGAGCCCCCGAGCGGGAGGCGGGGCCCTTTGCCCAGGCCGAGAGGCCTCTCGAAGTTGGGGGCGCGGGGCCTCCAGCCGCCTCGGGGTTCGCGTCCACCCTCCCACCCTCAGCGTCCTCGGTTTCTCCTGTACCCCTTTGTGGAGCCTCAGCCGCCGCCTGGCCGAAACCGTGGGCACAAGTTTCTTCCTTCCTCTTTGGCCCGCGTCGCCTAGAACCCGGGTCCGGGTAGGAAGACAGCAAACCCGGCGCCGCGGGACTCTGCTCTGAACACGGACGCCCAGAAGAGGTGGTCGCAGGGTCCCGCGATCCGTTCTCCCGCGGTGTGCGAGGACCCTCGAGACCCAGGGCGGCGGTCGCGGTGCGCCCCTAAGGGCAACGGTCCTTTAGGAAGGGCCTGTTTTTTGGTTTTGTTTTTTGTTTTTCAACAAGATACTGGCATTTAACTGTCCAAACAATGTTAAAACAAACCAGAAAGGCCTGTTATTAGCACAAACCAGAAAGGCCGTGTACTAGATGGGGAGCCACTTTTCTGAATGGGGGTGACCTGGACCCAGGCAGGATGAAGGTGCACCACAAGGGCCTTTGGCTAAGCCAGACGCAGTCCCAGGCTTGGTCTCTTGTTCCCCAAACTGTTTTTCCTCCCAGTTTCTAGTTCTGAAAATGCTTAAAAACCCTTTTCCGTTGGTATGTTTTGAAACTGGCTTGATCTGTCTGTGGCTCTCCACTCGCTGTAGTTGTTTGCAGAGAGAACGATGCAGGGGAGTTGTGGTTTTGTAAAGAGGTGTGGGGGGG